GGGGTGGTTTTATGGAATGGTTTGGAGCAGGAGTTAAAACAAAGCAGAAGAATAATTTAGTCTTGGAAAACGAGAATGAAGAGAGGTTATTTTATATGTATGTATAAATGTAAATATAATAGGAATAACTTGCATAATGATTTAAAGCAGGGGCTCCCAAACTTTTCAGCCCGTGAGTTTTCTACACTCTCGCGGGAGTGTCATTATTGTCTGCAAACGTTATTATTAATAATATTAAAAAAAAAAAAAATTATAAAAAAAAAGAATACAAATTTTTTTATAAATTTTTTTTTTTTTTTTAATTTTTAAATTTTGTAATCATCTCGCGACCCCCACTTTGGGAACCCCTGCTCTACTGTACCAGACAGGGTGATGGCACATTGCAAGAATAACTCCAATTCCAAACACAGTGCATCAGTTTTTATTTCGACTGTTGAACGGCAAGAGGACATTTGTTCTGCAGGTAAACAGTGAAGTAGCATGAGATTGCACTGAAATTAAAGCTTAAACTTGCCCTTCATACTGGTTTTAATGTAACTGAATAGGGCGAGGTGACGTTCAGAAGGATACAGTTGTAATTTGCCATGTTCTAACAAGCCCCACAAAACTGGCCAGACTTGTTCCCGGTTACCATTGAATATAGAGAGAAGATTGACTTAGGGATTGGGCTAAAATAGGATTCAATATATATATATATATATATATATATTATGGTCACATGTCTAGTTGGAATTCTGATAGAGAGAGGGAGATTGGGGTAAGATGAGCCACTGGGTAAGTGGACCCACCCCATTTATCTAGGGAACTGAGTTGTTCTATTTGGCTGTGATGAAGGGAAGCACATGGTAAAGTGGTAAATGTTTTGCTTGTCAAAGTAAATGCTCAACGCAACGCAAATGTATTGAGGGTTAAACGTATGATACAATGGAGAGAGCAGCCACTGATGGCCAGGGTGGAAAATCCATCAGAGCAGTGGCAAAAGACCGAAATATGGACAGGTCAACCCTGTGTAGATACATAAAAGGAAAATGGAAAAGGAAGTGAAAAAAAGTATGGTACAGTTGAATAGCAGAGACAAAGAGGGTCTTCACACAGGAGAGAGAAGGACCTTGCAGATCAAAAAACTGTCTGACCAGTTCCATGGCTTTACTCGGAAGAAATGCTGTGAACTGGCTTTTGAATTAGCAGACAGAAACAACATTCCTCTAGCAACCAACTCAGGTTTGAACTTGAAAAAGTCAATTATTGAATAAACCCTTAGATGGCTTAATTTATCCCTTATACTGTATGGGGCAAGTTAAGCGACAAGACCACTTTAATTTAAGAAGTCATATTTTCATGGCCCTTTGTGATAGATGCATCATTTTATATTGACAGAATACATCCTGTTGTTGTCATTTGACTTCTATCTAATTGTTCCTTGCCAAGAGGACAACATAAGTAGAAATTGTCTCTATCTTGCCCCACTCTCCACTACATTTCCTCAATTTATGTCAATTGAGTCAGTGCTGGTTAGGCTAAAGACTTTAGACCTCTGTGGCTTGCTTCTTTCCTCAGCTTGAAATCTGTTACTTGAGGCTACATTAGCCGCCACTATAGCATAACACCCAAATCCCCCTACCAACTGTCGGTGGTTGAGAGGCATTGTGACTGATTTAGTAACCATGTTTTGATAAAGAATGCATGAAATTGAAAAGAAGATATCTTTGGTTCTGCTGTAATGATTTTGTAAAAGTGTTCAGCCCATTATACACTGACTATGTCATAGGAGGGCATTGCTAAATCCGTGCATTACCTATTAGGCTTAATCTGAACATGCTAAGTCTTGAGAAGAAAAGTGTAATGGAAGTGCAGGTATTTTAGAGTACTCTATTCTAACAATGACCAAAACCCAAAAAGGAAATAGGAGAGCACAGACCACCACACCATGGCCAAAATCTTTTCTCACAATGTTAAACTTTTTTTTTTATAGTTTTGATGTTAGCTCAATTCTTAATTAAATCAAATAATGGCTCAGAACGGCATACAATTGTTCTCTAAAGAGACAGGAAACCCCCAATCACAGTGAGTTGGATGGGGATTGTTTACGGCCAGCACAGGAAGGTCTCTGAGCCGCTGACACGCTGCCAGCCTGCAGCTCTCAGGTCTGTATCACATTAGAGGTGTTAGCGAAGCAGCGTGCGGATGAAGCAGACTGTAGCGAGAAACAAGGAGACTCTGTCCCCTGGCATATGGCCTCTCACATGCCCCTGTTGTCAGTGCTAATGTCCTTTTTTAAACTACACAATGAGCTTTTTCTCTTTGCCTGGATCAATCCCATTGTTTGTTTTCACTGGCACAGACTAACCACAAAGGCCCAGATTATTTAAAAAGCTAAATCACCATTCTGCTATGAACTTGTTTTAGATGTATCTTTGTCAGTTACATTTCAAGAGAAAGTGGCTATCTGTATCTGCTGACAGAAAAACATTATCAAAGTGCCCATAGGATAACATTTTAAGACAAAATATACTAAGGCTTCATTTGGTGTCTTGTTGTGTGTAGCAGCATTCAATAGCAGAGTGTACTGCATGAACTTCATTAAGCCCGAGGATTGCACTTTGGTCTTACATAAAGCCTCTGTTATATCTAAGAGTCACTGATCAAGTTACTGTGCTGTTATGTAACTGTGCTGCTGTTACAGCCTGTGTGTGTACAGTTCACTGTGTGGTTCTGTCACTTGCTGCAACATTGGGCTGCTGCTGCAATAACTCATGCTGAAGAGACTTCTGACTTTGATATCTTTCTGTAAAAAACATGTCAAATAGTTACTGTAAATTGTTAAGGCTTAAGCTACGGTGGATGTTAACGCAATCAGTGTGGTATGCATGCATCAACTCCTCCAACAGAGAGGAACTTGCTTACCAAGAGCATCTTTGGTATCTGTACACATTTTACCAAAAATGCCAGGATTGTCAGATACAGATTGTGAAAAGTTGAGTTGATAAACATCTAAACACAATTGTTTTATCTAAAAATGCAAGCGATTGTCAGTTTATATGAAAGTACTTTGTAACACAACTTGTTTCACTATTGCATTCCTACACTCAAACAAAATGTCATTCTGCTTAACCACACGCTCAGCGTTGCTAACCAGGCTATTAATGGCCTCTCTACAATATCAAATGTTATGTTATCATGTGACAGGTTTCTATTTTATTTTTTTAAATTTCCAAATAAACTTCGCAAGCTGACATTTTGGAGCTTCTTATGCAATGCTGTCTAGTACTGTACCACCTCCTATTAAGTCAACTTTTTAGGTCAACAAGTGTTCCTCCTCCTTTACAAACCTTGTATAAAGTCAAAGTCAATTGCCATTAAATTTTTCTAAAAAAATAAAATGAAGCCATAGTTGGTTTCTAGCTCTCGAAAAAGCTATTAACTCAGCAATTTTTAAATATAAAATAAGTAATTATTAAGTGTTTCTTACAGTAATTCGTCAACTCTGCAGTTGTAAATGTATAGACAGGACTACTTTAATTGAAGTATTTATATCTAATCTATGAAGTAAAGGATGTATAATACATGACACCATTAATTACAAATGTACAACCCATTTGTAGAGGGGGGGGGTGAAAAGTCTACAAACATTTAAATACAATCACAAATTGGTCACTTATCATCACAACACATATTAAGTCACTTACAGCAAAACACATACACGACAAATAGATCAACATTATACAGTATTTCTATATTTCTTATTTTCCATTTCACATAAACATTGTGTATTTTTATATTTGCATATTTCTCTGAATGTGAATGTGATGTTCCTATTCTGGACCCCGCCTACCTAAGACCTGATTGGCCACTTAGCCGGTAGTCTCGATGCTCATTGGCTTAAACCGCTGCCACTAAATGTCTCACCACTGTTCGGGCGGCGAGACACAAAAAGAAATCATGTTTTTTGTTGAGCGGCACAGCGGGGAGTAGCCTGTCATTGACCGGCGGAGCTGCTTGCTTGCAGGGGTCTTTTCGGTTTGTTCTGGCTTCTGCTGGTGCTTATGGATATTTCTAGCTTAAAGACGAGGCAGTAAGCCAGTATTTTTAACAGAATGGTATTAAGGAAAAGACTAAAACGGTGCCTTTGTAGTCGTAGTATTGATGCTGCCGATGCCTTGTAGCTGTAGAGAAAGTTAGCTAATGAGTAGCATAACGTTAGCCACAAGCTAATGCTAGGCCTTCCGTTTCCTTTGGCTTGTCAAGACAGTTTATTGTTTTATTCTTCCCTTTGTGGAGCGGGGCTTTGTAGGTCTTTTGTTTGCTGATTTTGTTTATTTGCTTCCTCTGGTGAATAAGGCATTGACATGAAGAGAGTGAACAGCTTTCAGAGGTTTGTAAATCAAAATATATCACTGTTAAAATAATGTTTTGGGCTGTCAAGCTAGGATTGCTAATAATATTTGCCTTTTAATAATGCCAGGTGTGGTTGGTTAACGTTGCCTCATTCATCCTGACCGTTAGCAGCCAAAACATGCTTTCATTTCAGGTTAACATGTTGGTTAAAGTTCCTGTATAGCTGTGTCATAATGGGGACAAAGTCATTTAAATTGAATGCAATTTTAATAATGATTCACTTTCAACTCATTTTGATTTCGGTGTTAATCACTGAAATTGGGTATATTTGTTGGTGTTTGATCAGTACAGACAGTACACTTTAATAAACATTTTAAATGTGAATGGCAATTGTTATGTATAGCACAATAATCAGTATTTTGTGAAATGGCCATACATTTAATAAAGTCGTCAACACAAGAGTAGTCTTAGCCATAGTTATACATATATTATTAGTTAAGTCATTACATCTCAAGCAGGTTAAAATCAGACAATAAGGATGTCATGGTCAGTCACTTAGAACAGGTATCTGTGTATGGTTTCTATATTAATATTACAGCCATTTTATTTATTTTCATTCCTATCTCCCTTCTTGAGAGCTCGTGTTTCTCATTTTTGTGAAGAATGTGACTGCGCACATTATATCTCTAATAAGTCAACCTTAAAGCATAATCCTTTATACTACTGAGCACTGTTTTAAAGGTATCCTCCAATTTGATGCTTGATCAAACTACCACTGTTATTTATTTGTTGTGTTGTTTATGTGTGTGTTTCAGGTTCATGAACAGACGGGCCTCTGCTAACTGCCGCTACCAGCCCACCTGCTATGAGCATGCTGCAAACTGCTACACCCATGCAGTGAGTGGATGGGACTAATCTTTTATTTTCTAGGGAAGAGGATGATAATGACGTCATCCAGTGGCGACTGCTGGAAAATATTTTTAGGTGGGGCTGTGGAAATGGTGACCAAACAATACTAGGGTGGTACGGGGGGATGCTCCTCCAGATTTTTTTTTGAGAAATGACCCCTTAAATTATGACTTCTGGGGATGTTAGGGGGGGAAGGGCAAAGGGCAAATTGAGGCTTAAAAATATGAGAAGACTGATCAATACCTCCATAATCTTCAGTGTGGTTAGCTATGAATCTTCCAAAACTTCCAAACACCTTGTCCTGGACATAGTTTCTACAGCATAAACTGTGCAACAGTACAGTAGGCCCACACAAACTGCAGAACACCGGGGCTTTTTTCCCGCCGTTTTTTTTCTCACGAAACTGTGTCTCAGGGCTTCTTAAAATGTAATTAACTATTCATGTGTCATACTCATTTAACGGGAAAAAACTCAGCTAACTGATGATATGAACCATGTTTACCGAAACAAAACACAAGTCTCACAAGAAGCTAACCTTTTGCTAAATGAGCCCTGAGCGAATAAATGGAATCTAGGTATAAATCGATCGATTTACTTATCGGATATGCACAAACAAGCTTAGCTAACAAGCTGAGATTCTAGAAATATAAGTATCATCACTGAGCGAACAGAACTCGCGACAGGGGAAGCAAATACAGACATCACACGACGTAGCTTTAGGTAGCAAAACACGGAGATATGCTCACCTTTTGCTGTTATTCTGATCAAAAACGAGAAACACGGCTGAATGTTAATCCAATGTGTCTGTCACTTTGAAAAAATTATTGATGATCCATAATTCAATTTTTATGTCAAAAACTGAGTTTTCATATTAGCTGCTAATGATAGCTTCCAGAGTGTATGACAGCTCCCTGTTTTGTCTCCTTGGATACGAGTCAAAAAACCTCACAGACTGCCTTGGGCCGGGCGCTGAAATTGTAGCCCTTGGACCATCAGATCTGACGACGCTGATTGGCTGAAATTATGTTTCGGCGGCATAGTACTTTTCAGGTAGCAACAGTCAGCACTTGGTTGGCTGCTGCTGCACTTAGGGCTCTTTTCTTAGCGCCCAGACGAGAGAGGGTAATGATACACGGGCAAAGATTTCTGCGGCCAGGCAGGAAACATATGACTTATCAGTAACTTTAGACATCGTAACACAATTTTTTAAACAAGATTTTATTGTAGCTTATACATTTTTCTGATACCAACTATATAATANGCGAGCTGCATGATACTGGTATAATAGATTGCCCGATCGGGCAACCAGCAGGTGAGGCTTCATGGCCCGAGCTAAATACTAGATGGCCCCGGGCCATTGGGCAGTCCTTAATGTACATTAATGGTGACCAAAACGTTTGAGACCCACTGAGATAACACTGAGAGTCCTTTAGCTCACTGAGTCTCTCATTCTGACAGGAGAGGACTCTCCTCCACTCTGTTGTTGAAAAAACTCCTTATATCCGCTAGCGTAGCTCGCTAGCACCAGAAGCTAACAACTACGACCTCCGGTGCCGGTGCGCTCTCTCTCTCTCTCTCTCTCTCTCTCTCTCTCTCTCTCTCTCTCTCTCGCTCGTGCATGCACACAAAATGGCTCGTTCCACACACACACAGAGCCGAGCTTTAATGAAACACAGAGACCCAGACGTAGTAGTACTGCATCATATTATTTTCGAATCAATAATTTTTCAAATTCTGATTCTTTTTTTTTTTTTAATCTTTTTTTTCTTTTTTTTAATAACCATTTTTCCTCCTGGTCTCTCGCTCCCCCCTGTCACGCCCCCCACTTTGGGAACCACTGGGTTAATACAATGTGTCTGTCACTTTGAAATAAGTATTGATGACCCATAATTAAATTTTTATGTCAAAATCGGAGTTTTCATATTAGCTGCTAATGATAGCTTCCAGAGTGTATGACAGCTCCCTGTTTCGTCTCCTTGGATACGAGTCCAAACAACTCACAGACTGCCTTGGTCCGGGCGCTGAAATTGTAGCCCTTGGACCATCAGATCTGACGACGCTGATTGGCTGAAATTATGTTTCGGCGGCATAGTACTTTTCAGGTAGCAACAGTCAGCACTTGGTTGGCTGCTGCTGCACTTAGGGCTCTTTTCTTAGCGCCCAGACGAGAGAGGGTAATGATACACGGGCAAAGATTTCTGCGGCCAGGCAGGAAACATATGACTTATCAGTAACTTTAGACATCGTAACACAATTTTTTAAACAAGATTTTATTGTAGCTTATACATTTTTCTGATACCAACTATATAATATGTACCTTGTTTATTAAAAATAAAAATAAAAATATTTTTTAAAATATATATTTTTATTTTATTTGTAATGACAATCTAAAATGTGGGAAGAGGGGGGGCGGCGCCCCTATTGGCCGACCGTCGCTGACGTCATCTCAAATTAAAATGATCGCTCTAAAAATATCACCGTGGCCTTCAAATCCCATGTGCAAAGAAAAACATAGTTTGTCCCTATTGCCATAAAATATCTCAATCTGTAAGGACAGCAACTTTTGATGTCATGCAAACATTGTATTTTATACCTATTTATTTACCTTGATTCATCCTCATTTATCTAGTGCTTCTTTTAATGTAGTTTCCATTCAAGGATTCACGGCTTTTATTGTCATGTGTACATAGCTACAGTGTAGTTATGTCAATGAAACCCTTAGGTCACAGGCTCCTCAAATGGATAAAATAGTGCAACTAAATACAAATAGAATAGAAATCGTGCAAGAAGAATTTATATACAAGTAATTGGAATATGATATATTAGATAAATAATTTGTAAGTTGCGAACAGATGAATGTTATGGATATTCTTTAAAAAGTTCAGGTGCTTAACAGTCTTATGGCCTGTGGGACGAAACTGTCCCTGAGTCTGGTATTGTGTTTTTATGTATGTATATTATTGAAATAGTTTGATTTCCTCTCCATAGCTCCTCATCGTGCCGGCCTTCGTGGGCATGGCGTTTCTGCACCGTCTGTCGGACAACGGCTGGGAGAAGGTCACTGCCTGGGTGTACGGCATGGGCCTGTGCGCCCTCTTCCTGGTCTCCACTGTGTTTCACATCATCACCTGGAAGAAGAGCCACATGAGGTGAGAAGGAGCATGATGACAACCCACCATAATGGCAAAGAACCAAGACACGTAGCAGAACACACTGTCGTAAAAGACACGTCACAAAATGCAAGAGGACAAAGATAAAAGAGTGAGGGACACAGTCAGTCCTTTCCTTATCTCTTTACATTCCTTGTCACCATGCTGGGTTTTTCCCAGTGCTGGTATGTTGGTGTCAAGTTTCATTTTCAACATTTTGCACACTGCGTTCAAATCATACTTTTGTTTCCTTATTTTGATCTTATGTGCTTATGTGAAACCCTGGGTGTTTCTGTTCACGAAATTATTTAATCTATTTCCACTGGTTGGATGTTTTATTTTTTACTGTAGTTTCAGAAGTGTGACCACAGACACTCACTTCCTATGGCAAGAGTTTTCCCTCTTGCAAACGATGTGTCTGCTTTGCATATCTGTGACCTTGAAATAAACAAATCACCTGTTTTATTGTTTGTTTCAGGTCAATGGAACAGTGTTTCCACATGTGTGACAGAGTGGTCATCTATCTGTTCATCGCTGCCTCCTACACACCCTGGTGAGTGTCACACAGAGGACAGTTACACTCAGAGGGCCTGCATGAAGATGAAGGCTTGTTATAGATCTTATTTCTCCTCTCTCCTCAGGTTGAACCTGCGTGAATTGGGCCCTCTTGCAGCACACATGCGATGGTTTGTGTGGCTCATGGCTGCTGCTGGAACCATATACGTCTTCAACTACCATGAAAAGTGAGTTTGAGGTGATAATGGGAATTTAAAAGTCGGAACTACCACTGAACATAGGCAAGGCAAGTTTATTCATATAGCACCTTTCAACACAAGGCAACTCAAAGTGCTTTACAAAAATGAAAGACGTTAAGAGCATTAAGAAACATATTACACCTCAGTAGCCCTGTTCACACCGGAGTACTTTTCCCCTTTAGTTCTGCCCTTATGTTGCGTTCACACCAAAAAGAGTACTTAGTGCCGGGAACTTTTACCCCCATTTTTAATGCCTGCTATAGAGGTGGTACTATCCTGGGGGGAAAAAGTGCCCTAGTTCTGATTGGCTGGGCGAATTGCAAACCACGCCCTGTAAAACTCTGAAAAGTTTTGTGAAGCCGCCATTGTATTTGTGGCAATGACATTATTAGCATTAGCCCCGCGCACCAACGGAGAGAGAATAACTTCTGGCAACACAAAAGAAAATATGGGAGCGGTGGAGTGATGAGGAGGTGTCGGCGTTCTGGCGATTTACCCGGAAGGCTTCAGTAGAAGCTGCTGGGAGTCCCAGCAGTCACTACCCGATCCCAGCGCCATATAGAGAGAAGTTAGACAGCCATATGCCATACATCTTTGCATACATTCACAGTAAATATTTATTCAGTATGATAGCTGTCTAACAGAAGTTAAATCCATTTCTCACTTATTCTGACAATGTACTTAACCCCAAATAAAAGAACACAATAAAAAGAGTTGTTCAATAATAGTGAAGTCACGTTGTAATAAAAGCCACTGTGTCAAGTGTCCTACTTGGGTTGCCGTATGTAGTTGTCAAATATGGCGGACCATCTCGCACATGCGCACTGCAGATAGGGTAGGGCTGCAGATCGGGTAATGACATGTTGATATACATTTCGTCTTCTTCTGTTTGCTTTAATCGAGGCTACGTAGTTATGCAGCGCCCCCATCATCAGTAAATGGAAGTACTACAAAGAACCCCGTTTAGTGCAATTATTTCACAAGTTTTGTTATATACACAGCTCGAAAAAAATTGACCTCAATGGTGGATACGGCCATGAGTAGAGGAGAAAGCTGAGCTCACTGCACTCTTATTGTTGATAAGTCCCATTCAAAGACAGGAGCAAATATTGCATTAGATGAAATCCTTCTCAGAGGCAGACTAATCTACATTTGATGCTAACAGAATGCAGTGCATGTTCATGGTGATAAGGGAACATGTCACGTAGTGCAAAGATGAGGATGTGTTTGTAATCCTGCATTCAAGTGTGGTTATAAGGAACAGACACGTTTCAGAGGTGTTTAGTTTTCACTCAAGTTTAATGAGTGAGACCTTTAGAGGTGCCAGTGTCAACCTGTGTGTACAAGATCACACTATAACATTTAGTCAAAAGCAAGTAGTCATTTTTCATAGTCACTTCTCTACTCCCCCTGGGCCTCATTTATAAATGGTGCGTACGCTCAAAAGATGGCATACGCCAGTTTCTAAGCAATGTTTGCGATTTATTAAAAAAAAACTTCACAGGAAAATGTGCGTTCCTCCACGCAAACTCTAACCCATGCGTACGCGGTATGCAGAAAAACGGGAGAGATGAGAAACTGCGACACAGTTGGCAGAAGGAAGAATGGAGAGAAATATGTGGAAATAATACCATAAAGAAAATGTTACCTCTCATTTATCATATATATAGAATNGAGAAACTGCGACACAGTTGGCAGAAGGAAGAATGGAGAGAAATATGTGGAAATAATACCATAAAGAAAATGTTACCTCTCATTTATCATATATGAAGAATTCATTTGCAAACATTGATTAAAGCCAATCTTAAAACGATTAAACAAACGCCTGTTTGCGACTCCTCAGTGCACACAAAATCATAACTGGGAGAAATAAATAAATACGGATATGTTATTTAAAACCACCTCGAATATGTTGTGCTAATGTTATGACATGTATTCTCATAAATGATGCGGTAAGCAGGAGGACAGAATTACGTCTAAACTGACGCCGTTTTGCTTTTCTATAGGTCGTATAGATACGAACATGGTTTTATATATTATCATGTTTAATCGTGTTTTATGCGGTTTGCTAAGACGCTCATAAAACACAGGAGGTATGGAAACTAAGAACACCATATATTTGGTAAATTGTGCAGATGATATAACACAACACATTAGTTTTATTTCCTTTGAGTGGTGGATATAGAGTTGCTGCGGGGGGGTTGAGATGCACAGGCTGCAGTGGAGACGCTGCAAACAGCTGATCGACAGCTGGAACACAAACCACCAAATACAAAAATAAACATGAATTGACTCCACTGCACAGGGATCCCCCGATACTTTCTTACAGTTTCTCCTCATGGGGGGGTCTCCTGTCCTCGACACATACACACTGACACACTGCCTGAGGAAGGTTATTTGTATTTTTGTCATTAACTTTTTGTTCGGACCACTTATTTATTTATTTTGGTGACGATCCGATCTCCATGCTGCTACTCTGGTTCAAACTGTATCCACCAAACAATATGATTTATCTCGACCTCCCCAAAATAACCAAATTCTGACACGGTGAGAGATGTATTTTTTAGCTGTTCTGTCGCCATTTCCTGCGATCTTCTTCCTGCAGTCAGTCAAAATGAATACTAATACGGGGCGTTTCTTTGACTATTTATAGGCAAATATGGGCGTTACGCAAAAGCTGCACTGCATTTCGAGTTGATTGTGATTTATAAAGGGAAACCGGCGTAGGACGTGCCGCATGCAAGTCCTGTCCATGCGTATTTATTTACTTTGTCCTACGTAAGTCCCACGTGAATCCTATGCAAGGCTTTATAAATGAGGCCCCAGAGCCCTTATGGAGCCAGGTTGTGACATCACCGTTTAAGTCGCTGCAACTCCCGTGTGAATATCCTCCCAGTAACAATGATGACAGAAGACGTTGGAGCTGTACTCATGTTGCTAATAAACGACATCTCCAACTGCATACTCTTCTCCAGAGTGACGTGGATTTTAGTATGCAGCTATGATGCAGCAGCATTTGCCAACTTTCTAATCTCATCATGAACTGTTGCTGCTCCCCCAGCCGCTGAATTTCAACGGTTCTTGGAGACAGCTTGGCACATTTTTGATGACCTGGTTGAACTGATTGAGGTCCAAGAGCCAGGGCCGCTGCAGTGGATCAGGCATCTGCACTGAACCAGCACCAGAACCGCCTCATTGGAAAAGTGGTTGATTGAGACATTAAGAGGAGCCAGGATCAACCTGTAAAGTATCTGAGGGTATATCTTTCCAAAAGTGCCAACAATGATAACAGCTTATGACCTCTATTGGTAGCGTTCTTGCCAAATCCCAAATAAGTAAACATGAGATCAAAGCTTCATTCTATATTCATACAATGTAACCTCTTAACTGATTATAGAGAGGCGAAGTTAAGCCCATCTACTTCCGGTCCATGGGACCTTATTTCGGAAAAATAATGTATTGAAGTCAATGGAGAGAGAAAACGTATCTTTCGATCCCGTTTGAATTGTGCCATGAATTACACATATGATGTTTGTCAATCTTAAAAAATCATTTCCATGTCAAAAAAGTCACAGTTTGTCGTAAAACTGTTGAAATATAAGACTATGAAAAATACGCAGCTAGAAAGACTACAAATCAAATTATTTTCCTCCACTAAGAAATAGCTAAGATCAGCGCCATATAGATAGAATCTATCTACTGTATATGGCGCTGGCTAAGATAAGATAACTTTAACAAGATGCCTGTGTGCTTAGTACCAGGTCGTTCTTTCGCTTCCCGTCTGATGAAAGGACCAGGAGTGGCTTGATCAAGTTTCAGGATTCGTACGGGTGCTTGAAATCCATGAAAATGCTTGAAATTTGACGTGGTGTTTTCAAGGTTGGGAAAGTGCTTGAATTTTGGGAATGGTGCTTGAAATTGAGATAAAGTGCTTGAAAATGTAAATGCTTTACTTTTACAATACATTTCTGTCTGACTGAATAGTTCGATTTTTAGATTAAAAGAAAATAATTGCTTCGCTTTTACATAAAACAGCTCCGCTCAGGCCTTCCCGCGCTATGCGCTACAAGTGTTTGTGTTACGTGTGACCTGGGCATTCTGATGAGAGTGATAGATGACAGTGTGCCAGGATGTTGCAGTTTCAACAAGTGTTGGCTAGCAGAAGACAAAT